CGCTTGAACTCACCAACCCTGAGATCAAGAGTTGCACTGACTGAGCCAGCCAAGTGTCCCGAAAATACTCTTTTACACACATTTTTCGTTGGTTGGAGTCTAAACAGAGGGAAGCATTTTGACCACTTGAATAAAGAAACCTATTTTAAATGGAAAAATTATTTTTCAAAATAAAGATTAGTTTTCTAGTTTAGTTCTCCAAGAAGTGAGATATAATTTTCTAATTTCTGTGAAGATTTTTAATGATTGTCATCTCTTAATGTGTAGTGAAGGTCAGTTTTAATTTACTATTATCATAGAGGATGTGGGTGCATACATGCAGGTCAAGTAACTGGAAATGTATAAATTACATTGCTGGTGTGCTGAAAACTGTTTTATGGAATTCATGTATGGAAAGCAAATGTCTAGGAGTATGGACCAAGACGGTGTCAAAAGAACAGTCTGGGAGTGAATAATTATTAGTAAAAAGTATGAGAAGTGTACAAGAGACAAAAAGAGTACTGAACGTTAGCAGTGAAATTAGATTTTGCTTGGTTATATGTATTTTGTCTCTGAGAAGTAAAATGTAGTTCTGAAAGAACATCTTGATTTAGTGCTATTCTGAGAAAATAAAAATGTGCAATCAAGCTGAAAATTTGGATATTTATATAGATATGCCTGTTCCCATTTCTCAAAGGTTTTGAGGGATTGAAATATAGATGTTAAACCCATTTTAGGACAGTATCAGTACATTAATGAAGAAGTCTATTAGTGATGTTAAAAAATGATATTTTGGGGGAAGCCTGGGTGGCTCAGTTGGTTGAACGTCCAACTTCAGCTCAGGTCATGATCTCACGGTTCATGGGTCTGAGCCCCGCGATGGGTCTGTGCTGACAGCTCAGAGCCTGGAGCTGCTTCAGATTCTGTGTCTTCCTCTGTCTGCCTCTCCCCCGCTCATGCTTGCGCTGTCTCTCTCTCTCTCAGAAGTAAATAAGTAAACATTAAAATTGTTTTTAAAAAGTGATATTTTTAGTCTAAATATACTGCTGAGGAATATGTAGCATTTGTTTCATTATTACATGTTTTTCATAGGAACTCTGAAAGAACATCAGATATCTAGGGTGAATTTATTTTTTATTTATTTTTTTAATAGTTTCTTGTCAAGTTGGTTTCCATATAACACCCAGTGCTCATCCCCACAAGTGCCCTCCTCCGTGCCCATCACCCCCCTTCATCTCCCTCCAACCCCCATCAGTCCTCAGTTTGTTCTCAGCGTTCAATATGTGTAAACATATGGTATTTGTCCTTCTCTGCCTGACTTATTTCGCTCAGCATAACACCCTCAAGGTCCATCCATGTTGCTACACAGGCCAGATTTCATTCTTCCTCATTGCCATGTAGTATTCCATTGTATAGATAAACCACATTTTCTTGATGCATTCGTTCATTGATGGGCACTTATGCTCTTTCCATGTTTTGGCTATTGTTGAGAGTGCTGCTCTGAACATTGGGGTACATGTACCCCTATGCGTCAGCACTCCTGTATTATCTAGGGTGAATTTAAAGTCAAGTACTATGACAAAAAAAATGTTCCAGTCTGTTAGAGGCGATCTTACATAAAATAACATGTCTCACAAAGACTGTAATTAAATGGGTACAAATTCCAAAATCAAACCTTATTTTGAAAGATTTTATCCAGGTCTGGATATATTGTTATGTTTATGTAGTAGTTCCTCCAGAATATCAAAATATGCTGCTTTGCTGTGTGAAATAAGTGAAGAATGGGAGGAGGAATATACTCTCAGAAGAAAGGGCAAAGGGGTTGTTTTAACTTGCAGCCTGGTGAAGAAGCAGGTGATTGGTTCCTTCATGTAACCCAGTCGTTCTCAACTGTGGCCTCAACTGTGTTTTGGTTGACGCAGCTTGGTAGGAGGTATGCCACGGGCCCTAGAGAGTGCAGGTAGGGATGCTGCTGACAGTGTTGCGGTGCACAGGATGCCCCCACCCCAGGACCCCAGAGAAACAAAGAATTGGTCCTAATGCCAGCCATGCTGAGCCTGAGAAGACCTGATGTAGATGGAGAGTCTTGGGAGGAAGCCACTGGTCATGTGCTTACGCATGGGAGAGGAGGAGATCGGCTTAAATATGGCAGAACAGAGTGTCATAGAAAGAAGTCTTGCCCTCCTTCAAGCCCTCCAGTTCAGGCAGTTACCACCAGGAATATCTGATCCTGTCAGTCTTCCATTTGAAACCTCCCTAAACCTTGTGGATGAGGCCCATGCCCCCCACTTCATACCTCTCCATGCTGCAAATGCTCTCTTCTCCACCTCTGCACAGAGGTGTATATATATGTACATACACAAATTTTCAAGTTATACATATACTCTGCTGAAATAAAGCTTATTATAAAATAAATTAAAAAATAAATTTAAAAGAATGATGTAGTAGTAATCATTTAAGTAATCATTAAAATATTGTTGCAGGTACAAAAACTTTTCTGTACTCACCAAAATTATTATTAATAATGTTTCAGATGCTTGGTTTTTATTTATTTATTTTTTTAATGTTTTATTTCTAAGAAAGAGAGAGACAGTGTGATCAGGAGAGGGGCAGAGAGAGAGGGAGACACAGAATCTGAAACAGGCTCCAGGCTCTGAGCTGTCAGCACAGAGGCCAACGTGGGGCTCGAACCCACTAACCGTGAGATCATGACCTGAGCCGAAGTCGGACGCTTAACTGACTGAATCACCCAGGCGCCCCTTGGTTTTTATTTTTAAATTTTACTTATTTATTTTTATTTTAGAGAGAGAGAGAGAATGTGTGTGTTGGGGGGCAGAGGGAGAGAGAGAATCTCAGGCAGGCTCCGTGCTTAGCAGAGAGCCTGAAATGGGGCTCAATCCCACGACCCTGGGATCATGACCTGAGCTGAAGTCAAGAGTAGAAAGCTTAACCAACTGAGCCACCCAGGTGTCTCCAGATGCTTAGTTTGTAAATGTCTTTAACCTTGATGGCTTCAGGCTGTTATTATCTACTATCTCAAGACACAATATGCAATTAGAACAGTGTCCACTGTTGACGAGAATATATATAAATCCATATTTAGAAAAGTTTAAAGAACAAGTTACAATCTTTTTAGCTGCCTTCTTGTTGGGTCTAATTAAATTGCTATGCCTTTGACTTCAGAAGGTGTCTGAAGGACTGTTTCCACGAGGAAACGTATCAGCACTCCACCCTCATTTTCTGTGTTTGTGTGGTCATTATCAATGCATGATTTCTTTGTGAGAACCCTTCAAATATCTGGTTCATATTATGTTGTTTAAAATGGGCCATCTAGTCCATAAATCACATCACTAGGCCCAATGCATTGCAGAGAGCTGCAGTTCATCATGAGAACCAGTGGCAGGTGGTTCACCCTCCTTCACCAAAACTCATGGGGCTGTTTGCCATCTCTTGAGGCTGCAGAATTAGCCCATTTATCAAATATACTTAGTTGTAAATCAGTATCAGTGTGGGCACATATCCCAGTATATATACTCAGTAATTTTTGCTGAAAAAATAAAAACAATTACAGACTTTTAGAGCTGGAAAAGGTTCTCTGGTCCGGTTTCAACAGTTTATAAATACAATATAATCTTACTTTGAAAATTTCTTGATGGTATCTGGCCTCTTCAGCACTGAAAGCTGATGTTTTCTGCATTTCTAGGGTACATATTCCCTTTCTCATCCCCTAGCCCATTTCTTGGTCCTCAGCATAAAATGTTAGTGAAATACAAAGGAATATCAGTGATCAGTTGAAGTATCTGTACCAGGAACAGTTATTCATTCCTGTCAGGTAATTTTTATAAAAGTAAGGTGAGGGCAGAAAGTAAATTTCTGTGTTTGTTATAAGTATCAGATTTTCTTGCTACTGTTCATCATGTGTCACTCTAAAATCTAAATTCTCACCCTAAGAACATTTCCAAGTGAGTTAATGATAATTCTTCAGCCTAGACAGTGTCAGGGAGTGAGATTTACTTATTCAGTTGGAATAAAATGTAGATTGTTCAGAACATACAAATTCGTATTTGCACGCTTACTGTACTGGCAACTATCGGCTGAATGACCTGTAGCAAACTCTAATTTTCATTTAGAAGCTGTTGTTTCAATATGAGCTTCACCTATGCTGGATAAAGCCATTTCAATGCCAAAGATCCTGGATAGAGTTCTTTGTCCAGTGGTGGTGGACTCAGTCATTTGACTAACCCACTGAGAACACAAGAGAATCTGGACAAAAAGTAGGAATATAAGAAGGATCAGAGCGAAGAGTTGGGAGTTGAGATCCAAGAGTGGAAAGATCAGAGAGTCAGCCAGTTTTGGGGAGGGACTGTAGGGGGTCCTTGGTGTGCCTCCCACATCAGAATTGGGACCCCAGGAGGCTGCACACTAGGAGAAATGGTTCAACAGAGACGGGCAGCCCTCCTTGCAGGGACAGAGACCCAGCTGTGAGTCATCTCAGCTTCTGGTTGGATAGGCTGTTGGGGGTTCTTGGTTTCTTAACCACCAGAGAGAAGGAAGAGCCAGTTTTCTTTGGAGGAAGGTGGCATCATTAGAAGTTTGGGATAGCTCCATAGTTCCTCACATTGATGCCCAGAAGCAAACAAAATGACATTTTGAGGGAAATTCAGACATTTATCCTTTGTCTGGTTTCTTTATTCTCGCTATGAGTAAAGAGTACCAGTTTCCCCACTGAACTATAAAGTTAAGCAAGTAGGGAAACCTTTGGTCAGTACCATGGATTGAGTACCTGCTATGCACCATGGACTATACCGGGCACTGGGTATGCACACATGAACAAGACAGTGTTTCTGCCTTCCAGGAGCTTCCCTGCCTCCGAAATGTTCCCTGGGTTTCCTCTCCCCAGAACCTTCCCTCCCTCCAGAAAAATTTCTGTCTTCTAGAACCTTTCTGCCCTCCAGAACCCTCTTTGTCTTTCAGAATTTTCTCTGCCTTCCAAGACCTTCCCAAACACTCCTTCCCAAACCATCCCTGCCTTCAAGACCTTCTTGTCTCCAAAAGTGCACCAGGACCTTTCCTGTGCATTTCCAGTGCCTGTTCTAGAGTAAAGAACATAAACTTAATTTACTTAATAATTCTAGAGAATATTCCTCTGCTCTTGGGTTGGGAAGCTCTTATCTGTAGAAGACGACTATCTGTAGAAGAAGATTTTGGTGAGTAAGTACCAACTTTTTAAATTCCATGTACGTTTATTTCATTGTGTTTCCTAATTCTTGCCAGGAAAATGGAGGTGGTACCTATGAAGTTGGCTTTTTACCTTTTGGGACCCTTAAGAACTAGATACTTTCCATTAGATGTGGTGACGAATACAGGCCTTATTACAAAATAGCAACATGCAAAAACAAACAAAAACAATCACAGGCAGAATAAAACGACATGAAATAGGGAACTGAGTAAAAATTGAAGACTTATTAGGTGGAGTGTTAGGTCCAGCTTGAAAACACACCACACGAAGTGCTTGCAAATGTAGTGGCTCCCAGGCGAAGAGCATTTTGGGGAGGGCCCTGTGGCATGGCCTTCCTCCTCCTCACAGTGCTTGTGACTTTGCTGTCTGGGTCTTGTGGGGCTTGCATGGTGGCTGCCACCTCAGGTTCAGCGCTATGAAGTGTTTCCTCAGCTGCAAACTACAGTTGACCTCAATCTACCAGTTTATAAAGTGTTCCGTAGATCAGCATTGAAAGGCTAAAAGGGGACCTGTCATCTTTAGGTACTTTTGCCAATCAGGGTTGTGGGGTTATTTTCTTTCTCTGCTCTGTCTCTGCATGGCTTGGTTGTGGAAATGACCTTTGGCTGCTTCTCTGGGCCATGTCATGAATTAACAGCTCGGAAAAGCAGAAGGTGAAGTGTTCATGGAATAAAAATGAGAGTGAAAAGGAAGAGCTCTTGTCTAGATTTGACATATGTTTGGCTATGTCGTTTGGCAGGGGTGTGAGTGCTCAGCTGTTGTCCCGACTGCACAGACCAGCTTGTGACACCGGGTGAGCTGTGACCTTCTGGGCCCACGGTCCAGGCTGTGAGTGGAGGGCAACACCTGACTCTGTGTGAGATTTGGGCACAGGGTCACAAGTTTCCTTCTTGGTGACTTCGGTTTGTCTCATAGCCCCCGTGTTGTTCAGAGTCTCCCTATGTTTCTGATATGTGGGTCCCAGTCCGGGGGTAGCACCCCTGCCCTAAGACCTACTGGAGGTGCACGAGTCCTGGGACCCGGAGTGGGTGAAGCCCCAGGGGGAAGTGGAGGGAGAGGAGGGGGAGAAGAGCACCACCTGCTTTATGATGAGAGAAGGCCCTCGAAATTGGGCTCCTCATACACTCTTTTTAACCCAAGCACAGGAAGGAAACATCACTCTCAGCCAGATGCTCTTCCAGCTTTGGAAGCAGGGCTCTTCCCTCATCAGTTTTGTGTCTGGATCTGGCGCTCTGCATTTTCTGACAGCGCTGAGGTGTTCAGTGGTAGTAGAGGGGTTAGAAGTTAGATGGACAATGTGTTACCGTTGCTGGTGTACTTAGATGGTCAGGAAAACAAAGAGGGAGTGTGGTAGGCAGCCGTGGGGACTGTGGCAGCAGCAGAGGATGACTCCACTATCGGTCTGTGAGAGGGACAGCCGGTTCCCTGAGAGGCTTCGTGAAAGATGAGGCACCCTATTCTCCTGGCTTTGGATTGTGAGATTATGGTTTTTCCAGCAGGGAGAATGACAGATAGGTTTGCATTGTGTGTGAGCCTTTCCCATTCCTCCATCTCCTGGACCGGGTGACTGAGTAAACGTCTCCTTTTACAGTGAATAGCCAGGCGTCTTCCTTGTGGGAAGCGGATGGGTGCATGACCCTAGGCTTACCCAGCTGCCCCGTGTCTGTCTCTCTGCCCCAAAGTGCAGTGATGAACGTTGTGTTAGGTCCTCAAGCATCAGGGAAATAGAGCATAGGGCGTCTGGGGTTGCCCTGGGTTTTGTGGAGGCCCAAACTTGATTTCTTTCTAGGTTGCTTAGTGATGATCTGGTTCTGGGTATCCGGTCCACACTCTCTCAGGACACCTGATTTATAACCCAGAGGTCAGGGTAGTACCTTGGGGGTGTGCACCCAAGGAGTAACTAGTGTGGATTATTTCCACTGAGCTGCCTGGAGGACCAAACCTGGTCACCTGGTGAGCGTGGAGCAGACGTGGTGTCCCTGACACTGCAGGACGATGAGTGGCTCCTTCCCATCGGATCAGATTTACTCATTTAAGACTTGTTTAAATTCTGAGATTTTATTTATTTCTTTATTAGTTAGTGATTGTTGATACCAGGTGGTAGGGGTTTTTGTAAGCATTTTAAATTGGAAACCCAAAGATTTAGGAACTTTCTGTAGGTTCCCCTGAAATTGAAAGAAAAACATGCCTATAGGCTATGAAATAAAAAAAATAGAAACCACTGTTTTATGGAATATGTCCTTTTTTCTTTCAGTTTTATTGAGATACAGTTAACATACCAGACTGTGTAAGTTTAAGGTGTTGTACAGCATAGTGACTTAACGTACACTGTGAAATGATGGCCACATGAAGTTTAGTTAACATCATAATCTCATCAGCTACAAAAAAACCAAAAAGAAGGGAAAATAAAAATGTTTTTTTCCTTGTGTTGAGATCTTTTATAATTTACTCTATTAGCAGCTTTTAAACATACCATGCGGCTGTGTTAACTGTAGTTATCATATTGAAGGAATATTTCTCTGAAGTGTGATTGGTGAGTGGGATTGCTCCAGGAGGGTGTTTAGAGTCTTTGTGGTAAATATCACAGTTCCGTGCAGTATAAGTCAGGTGCATGATTGACACCGGTATTTGAAGACCTCGTTTCCCTACACATTTCCTCAAATGTGTTGGAAAAAGGAAATGCAGTCTAAAAGTTGTTGGTTTTTCTCCCAACACCAAGTTTTAGTATTCTTTCCTTTCTGGGAGTAACGCAAAAAACCAGGGGGGTTCCTTATGTTATGAGTGACCAAATTATCTACTTTCTCTGGATCTCATTTTCCCTCATCTATAAAATAAAGAAGCTGAACTAAATATATTCATAGGTATACAGTTTCTAGTAGGTGAGAGTCACCTTCCTGTATGCATGTCTTAGCGGCAGTGATGGACATAGCTAGCAGTGTGCTGGTCATTTTTTCCTCCAGGATGACCTGCACCTCTGTTCCGCGTGTCTGGTTAGGCCGTGGTGCCTGTGTCCTGGGCCAGGACCCTCTCCAGAGTCTTTCCCTCCCCCAAGAGTTCCCTACTATTTCCCTGCTCCTAACTCTCTGACTGCTCCCAGCACAACGCCCTGCCTCTTACCTCCGTCCTGGATATGACTCCCCACGTCTTGCCTGGTTCTGGAGGGCTGTGTCCATGTTGGATTCGTCCCTCCTCCAGCACTTCCAGGTTGATTAACTTGGATGTTGGGTTGTCTCCTTTGAGGGGTGGGCCAGCTCACTCATCACATGGCAGGAACTTATGCATTTGTCAGATAATGAGGGAGCCTGCAGGTCTGGAAAGAGCCCGCTGTGTCTCAGCCTTGACATTTTACATCGCCATAATGAAAAGCCTTCCTAAAATAAATGCTGCCTGCGTAATGTCTCATATATTCTGTTTGGAGGGTGGAAAATGCAATCGCAGGCACAGCCTGGGCTCAGCCAGCTTGTTTGTCATGGTGACAGGACGGCCTGTCGTGAGCTCAGGAATTTTCTGGCCTAGAAAAGATTGGAATAAACATCATAAATATCCAGGGAAGTGCAGTGCAGGAGACATTTCATTCATTCACTTGGATAAAAGCCATTTAGCTTCCTTTAATTTGTTATCATTTCTGTGGTTTTTGTGTTTTCCATGATGACAGAGCTGTCAGATAGCCTGTGACAATGGGGACAGCTAAATTGAGGAGGACAGGTGTGACACCTCCTGTGCGGGTTGTTCCACCCTCCTCCCACCAGATGAAATGATGATGAAAGTACTTTTCTTCTTTGGAGATGCTTAAAGGAGGGCAGCCCCGTAGCTCAGAAAGTCCAGAGCCCCTTCACTTTTATTTAACATTTTTTTAATGTTTGTTTATTTTAGAGAAGAGAGAGAGAGACAGAGAAAGAGAGAGAGACAGAGCGTGAGCGAGGGAGGGGCAGAGAGAGAGGGGGACACAGAATACGAAGTGGGCTCCAGACTCTGAGCTGTCAGCACAGAGCTTGATGCGGGGCTCAAACCCATGAACTGTGAGATCATGGCCTGAGCCAAAGTTGGACACTTAACCAACTGAGCCATCCAGGCGCCCCAAGAGCCCCCTTACTTTTAAAGGTCACATATGGGGACATCAGGTGCCTTGAGGTTACAGACCTGGACTGGCCCAGGTCAGGGAAGGCAGATGGTGGGGTTGTGCCGCTGGCCTGGAGAGGGGTCTGCAGTGTCACTGGTGACCCTCTGACTACCGTTCTTGTCTCAGAATACTTAGGAGCTAACGGGACCTTATGATGTTTGTGGATAAAGCAAGTAATTTGATCTCCATTGTCATCAAAACCATTCATAACCTCAGGGAGAGGTTTTATAAGCAGGGGATGGCTAAGAGAAAGGAAATGACTTAGAGGATAGAGCTGTGGTTAATGAGTGGGTCCAGAGTCTGGTGACCGCGAAGTCCCTTAGCACGTCCATGCCACAACCTCCTCATGTATAAGGGGGGCAGTCGTGTTGAGGCTTGAGTCAGAGTGTTTCTGTCCATTGTGTGGAGAGTGACATGACAGAAGGGCATCCTGGCCCTCCAGGACCCACATGTCTACTCCCAGTGGGTTCTGCCGGGACTGTCTGTCAGCTGAGGCCGCATATCCCACATGGGAACTTGGATGTGGACTTGGCGGCCCTCACCACGCTGGAATTCTAAGGGAAGCTGCACTTCTGTGAACACGGCCATTTAGTGCTGGACCAGGTGGGGTAGTGGGGCAGGGAGGCTCTGTCTTCTCCGCAGGATGGGTCTTGGCTCTCTGAAGAGCTCCCCTGACATATGGCTTATTCGAAAGTCACTCACTTAGCTCTGTTCTGACAGTCGATGTCAGGTAGCCACACATACTGCCCACACGAGCTGCAGAGCTGCTGCAGGTACAGTTGGATCCTGACACCCAGACCCAGGTGCAGCCTGGTCTGCCTTCTGTTCTGGGGCCCTCATGGCTTTATAGAG